AMTAWTTMAAATSWATGTTGMAATAGAGMRTGCMSWYTKTMTWTATWWATTTTYAGATTTACCAAGCGTTGTGAGCGGAGACCTTTTAGCTTTCTTGGACCCACATGAAGTATACTTTGGAAAGAAAGAAACAGGCCRACAATTCGATCTACAAGAGCCACTTATWGAACAATAYGAAGATCAGTTTTCCCCGTTTGAAGATATCCTTGGTTGCAAAATATCCTCACAGCACGTGAACGGCACCCTTTTCCGCTTTCCATTRAGGACTGAAGCCTCTRAGCTWTCACAGAAGCCTTATACTACAGAAAAAGTGCGATATCTATTTSAGTCGYTAAAAGAAGAGGCGTCGTTRATTCTTCTCTTCCTGAAGAACATTGAGGAAATAAATCTTTACGAAACAGACGAGAATCAAARAGAAAAGCTTGTTTTTAGGGTTCGACTTCACGATTGTTGTCGCAAARGAGTTCGAGAWCRAAGGCAAAATTTGCTGCGTCAAGTTCCTGACTGGGAAAGTGGACGCCAAAGAGTGTTACAGCTTGATCTTGAAATGGTRATCGAGWTTTTTGACACGGCTACCGGGACGAGACAAGAMARRTGGATAACYCATAATCGCATAGGCGACAAGCAAGCAAAAATGCGAGAAAGGGCCCAMAATTTGCATTTGCTTCCTTGGGTTGGTTTTGCTGCGCCAMTTTCTRTCGCTGGAGGAAGCAGCATTGGGAGTAATGGCGGGAGAATATTTTGCTTTCTGCCGCTCCCTCCCGACGCAGATGCCAAAACAGGGTACCCAGTCCATATCCATGGCTACTTTGGGCTTACTGACAACCGTCGTGGTCTCAAATGGCCTGGGCCAGAATGTCAGAACGATGACATGGCTGAATGGAATGTTGACCTCATGAAGTACGTCGGGTGCCAAGCTTATGCTAGCTTACTTCAATCCATGACAACCTGTCTACCTGATTCTCCTGATATGATAAACATTTTCTACCAGTGTTGGCCTGACAAGCAATATGTGAATAAACACTGGAAAGACATCATCAATAACCTATACAACCTTTTGCTGAATGAGAGAGTCTTCTGGACAAGGTCTTCTGGAGGTCAATGGTTGACTCTGCAGCAGRCAGTATTGGAAAGGCTTCGTCTCGTAACCCTTCCGGCTAATACCAAAGCAGTGGTCAAGAAGGTTCTGCATCTTGCTAACGAACCGGTAGTGTCCTTGCCGTTACATGTAGACGAGTACGTACGAATGAATGCGTCAGGCACTCGTGTTGTTACACCTACATACTTGCGTTCTCTCCTGAAACAGAATCGAAAGGGATCGTGGGACATGGAGAAAATGAGTCGTACGGAAAGAATCGCCATGCTTGAATACATTGTCACAGACAACAATTTTACTGATTTTGAAGGAATTACCTTGTTGCCATTAGCCGATGGACGTTTCACCACTTTTAAAGCAGGAAAACGATGTGGTACTAATAATGTGGTTTACGTCGAGACCCAAGACAACAGAATGACGCTTTTGCCGGGGATAGAGTCAAACTTTCTTGATCCAAACATTAGTTGTTTAAGCAGAATGGCAGTTGRTGCTAGTAAACTTCATCAATCATGTTTTCAACTAGTCCTCTTAAATCCACGAAATGTTATCAGTCTTCTGAGGCACGTCCTTCCTAAGAATATGTTCTTATCAGATCCAGTAGTGTGGAATCCATCACGAGGAGGCCACCCATCAGAATCATGGCTCGTTCAGTTCTGGAAGTGGCTGAATAGAACCTTTACTTACGATTTGACCCAGCTGGAGGGTTTTCCGCTTATCAAGTGCCCCTCAGGCCAGCACACAGCTCTTGCGATGTTAAGAAGAAACACAAAGACCATCAGACAAAAAAGCTACGAAACTGGTATATCGCTACCTCAAGAAGTCGTTAATCTTCTAAAGAAAGCCRGTGTTGTGGTTCTTCCTGAAGTACCTCACTACATGATGCAACATGCTTGTTTCTCRATGTACGTCGCTGACGCTTCACCGGAAGGAGTTCTTAAAGTCCTTCGAAATGTTGGCATTCAAAGRAGCATAGCTGCCGTGACAGCTTCAAATGCCCAAGAAAAGCGAAACTTACGAGTACTTCTCAGTTCACTGAGATCAAACTTGTCAAATGATGAAACGCAGTTCCTGAAATCATTGCCAATCTTTGAAGCGATAGATCAAACTTCATTCATCGATGCTCAGRATAAAAYTGCCACCGCTCCGCGTGGATTTGCMAGCCAAATTCCYTTAAAGATAATGAATGCAAGTTGTATTTTAACTGTGGAAGACAGCGCAAGCAACCAGTTACTGAAATTCTTAAACATTCCTGAGATGACGATGGGACAGTTTCTTACCAGAGAAATTTTCCCACAC